AAAGGACAACTTGGACTCATTAGCTCCGCATCTCAACCTGACAGGACTACCACCACCACCAAGTAGCACCAAGACTCCTCATCTGACACCTGAAGCCAACCCAAGCTCTTGTTTCTGGCCTCAGGGGAAGCAATTATTATTCTTAACGAATCTTGGATGTGTAGGTCAGGCAAAATGGGGAGACTTCAGTTTACCAAACTGAGACAGAAACAAAATGTTAAACCCCACTTTGCTCCTGCTAAGACGCCCAGGGGTTTTAACAGCGGTTCCTCGGTTGGCAGGAACAGCCCAACACAAAACCCTTATTGCCCAAACCGACAATAACTCCAAAGAGAGACATCTGGGGCCTCCTGGGCCTGCTCCTACTGATGTCTTGGCCATGCTCCCACTGAACTCCGTGCTCCAGGCCCTGCAGTGGAAAGGGGACTGTCGCCGGGGCCCCAGCGCCTGCAACACGCAAGGTCACCTGGAGACACCGGCCCTTCCATGTCCCCGGCAGGAGATGGCCTTCCCCATCGGATGGGGTGAAAGAAACGCAAAGCAAATCAGCTCAGTTGCACCACTGAGACCAAGACGGGGCCCACAACCATGAAGATTTCAAGAGCGTGTCTAAGCTGGGCATACGGCCCTCTCCCAGTGCTGTGAACATGCCCATTAACTGGCACTGGGGCATCCAGGGATTGGGATGGGGAGGGCAAGATGCTGCCGAAAGGCTGGGAATTTCCACCGCATCCAAAAAATGTAAAGAATAGCTCCCCAGCTCTGAAACCCCTTCGAGCATCCCAGCCTCAGCTGACTTAATGCCATCCCCTCCTGTCTTCTGACTTGGCCTCGAATGGAAACGAGGGGCTGGAGTGCGGGAAGGGGATGGTTGGCATCCCGTGCCCGCTCCTGGGAATCACCTGTCTGCTCACGTAGCAGCTTTCTCCTTCCCCACCCCCACTCCCAGTCTCTCGCAGCTCTTGGGGATTCAGACTGTGCAGTGCTTCTGAGTGCAGTAATTAGAGCACAGTGAAATACTGGTTAAATGCGTATGTACAGTTGGATAATGTAAAAATAAGCACAAATACACACTTAAAAAAATAATCTGGAAAAAAATAATAATAAACTCCGCCCCCCTCCCCCCATGAACAACAATATACCAGGGGAAAAAAATACCTTAGCCTTAGTTCCTGGACTTATCACAAAGCACAAGGAAAACAAAACCAGACAACGTTATAAAACCTCACGGTACTTCTAGGGAAATCTACACTTAAGTATCTAGCTCTCTACTCAGCTGGCAGGATCAGTGTTTTCCTTTCAAACACACAAAAATAGGCTTTGCTCTTCTTGGATTTGGATTATGCGGGTTTTCTTTTCTCCTTTTCTTGTGGGTTTTTTTTTTACTTCTTGGTAAAGCCTCACTTCTTGTTCTTTTTTCCCCCACTTGAATCATTTGCAGCAAGAAACTTTGTTGGCTATTGGGTTTTCCTTTCCTCTCTCTCTAGGTAAAACCTAGAACAAACCGACAGTTACAACCAAGTGAAACCGAAACCAGAAGGGAGGTAGCTGGAACCCGACTCCAAGAGTCCTCTGGTGCCATCCTCCTTTCTCAGCCTGGGGGGACAGCGGAAGATGCAAGAAAAGCAGGAGAACACCAGCTCAGCCTGTCTGCGAGAGGGTGGGGAGGAAGGGGGGTAGCAGCTGATAGGAGTTTCCCACCCCACCATGCACCATTCACTGCTTTCTGCTCCAGCTTGCCCTCCTGCTGGCCATGGACACCACCCATATCCAGGAGGCTGGCTGGTGGCCCAGGGTGCAGCCTGTGCTCACTATCTGTGACAGAAGATCTTGGCACTAATGTGACCTGGACTTTATGAGCAGTTAAATTTCATCAGCATGGGCACCGGTTCCCCCAAGCTTCTTGTTTGATGTCCTACCCCACTGGCTTGGTGGGCAATGTCCCTCTCGCCTCCCACCCAATGGCCATCACAGTCAGGGAGGGCCTTTCCTAGGGACTTCAGTGGTAGGTGCTGCAAGGCCATTCAGCTGACTTTGCCCCAGGGTGGGGGTCCAGGAGCTGGGCAGGTGTCCCTGCCCCACAGCTCCCCTCTCTGAACCGCCTGGGAGCTTGGTACAGCACCTGAAATGCAGAGGGCAAAGCTTTGCCCCAGTGCAATCTTTTCCCAATAGAAAAAAAAAAAAGCGCCATTGGATTGAACGTGACTGGGAGCAGAACTTCTGCTCCTGGTTCTGTCTGCTCCGTTGAAGCAGATGGGCAGTGCCAACACAGCACTTGGGAAAAAAATCAAATAGCAGCATGGAAAGCCTGTCTGTGGGAAAGGGAGTTGGGTCGTCCCTAGACTGCAGGAGCGAGGCTGAGGTTTGAGTCTGTGCTGGCAAGAAGCTGCTGTCTCCCTTGAGCTGAGGAGGACTCCAGCTCCGTGAGCAGAGGCTGGATCTGGCTGGGCAGAGGAGCTCAGCAGGCCCTGAGCTCCTGGGAGCCCATGGCAGCAAGTGGCAGTAATGCTTATCCAGACCTCTCTCTCCTGGGTAATGTCCCAGATGGGCAGAGCAGCTGGAAAATCCCCTTCATGCTGAGCAGCATAACTGAGAAGGGGACTTTGAAACTGAGCTGCCATCAGGAGGTGTGCAGGACCTGAACTGGGGCTCCCTGCTAGAGCGAAACCTGGGTGGGGTGGCAGGGGGGAGACCATGCCAAGATGCACTGATACGTAATGTATTAGTCTGAACGTTGTTTGAGATTGTGAGCTCTTCCAATGGGCTGGATGGCACATGAACAAACTGCCAGCGCAGAAGGGGAGGACAGAGGGACCTGAAGGAAGGAACCTTCTCACAATTATTTACTTCCACTGTTAATTAGGTGGCAAGGGGCAAAAGCAGAAGCTTTGCCCAGGCCCAGTTTTTGCCAATGTTCTCTACACCGGAGAACATTCAGCCTAACTCCACGGAAGGAGTCCTGATCCCATGGAGCCTCCCTTTCCTGTACCCCCCACATGGTGGGGGCAGAGCCATCTGCACAGCTCCCATGGCCAGGCCTTCTATGGGAATAACTAGGAGCTGGACAACACAGAGCTCCCCACCTTCTTATGACAATCATCTCTCCAGGCCTCTACATTTTAGTTCTTGAGATTCATCTCTGGTTTATTCCAACAGAAACAACCCCAACAGTGGGTGACAAGAGTCTGGCTCCTTGTACCCACAACTCTCAGTTTTCCATTTCTAGTTCTCCTACCCATTGTTACATCCATATCCATGAGCTAAATGATCCTCCCTTACCCTTCTGCCTTGCTCCAGTGCCTAAATGTTCAATCAAGGAGGAGTAGGAAAAAGTCTTTCCAACCTGTCTTTACCCAGTAGATTGTACAAGTCAGGAGAGTCCCAAGGAACAGACAAAGTTAACACTCAGAAGGATGCTATTTGGATACGTGTTCTTCCTAGCAGGAGCCTGACGCAGCAGGAGACAAGCCCAAGCCGCACCGGGATTTACATTGGATGGGAGGCAGCAGCAGCACAAGATGCACTGGGCACCTCAGTGACTCACTGTGATGAACCCAACGATGAAATGAGTCCCCAAGGGCCTGGCACAACTGTGCCCCCTGGGCTGAAACAGGAGGATGGAGCTATACAGCAGGGAAGTATGAGGTCTGCTACAGCTAATGCCCTTCCTTCAGGAAGATTACAAGCAGCTAAGCTCTTGGTCTATCAAAGGTGTCCAACCCACTGGCCTGGCAGCTTAATACTGACAAATATGGTCAAAATTCTAATACTGTCTCCTGCGGTCCTGTCCCCATATCATGTGCCTCCTCCTCCTCCTGAGAAAACAGGAGCAGGAAGCGGTAGTTAGATATATCCCACTGTAAGAGAGGGTAGAGGAGGTCTAGCGAACCACTTGGCTGGGTAGAGACCAGAAAGCAGACTTCTTCGGCTGGCTGGTGTCCTGTTTTCTTGCCCCAGTGCTGAGGAAGAGACCAGAGGGTTTGAAAGGCAGGTTGTAGGTAAGCTTTAAGGCAGACTGTTTGGTTGCATGGGGTTGTTTTCACCCTGTCCTGACACGGTAAGGAAATGAGTTGTATGGGACATAGCAGCAGGAGTAGCAGCAGCAGACATGCTCAAATGACAAGTGCGGGGGCGAGTTACCCTCTCTGCTCCTCAGAAGCAATCATCCACGTTTCTCGACACCAGTCCTTAGACTCCCAACTCCCTGTCTCCACCATGGGACCACCTGCCCACCTCCACACAGAAACATCCCAGCAGCCCTGCAGCTTCCAGGCAGGCTACAAGAGGGCTTTTTGTTGGATTTTTGAGGGCAGGGAGAGAAGGAGGAGCTGTACAGAAAGGCCACTGCAGTCTGCTGAGCTCCCTGGCTGGAAATAGCATTCCTGTGAGGAGCAGATGCATCCCACATCTCAAGCTGGCTGGACGTCTGGCAAGTCACATGCCAAGAGGTATAGCCCTGTGGAGATCCCACCCCAATATCAGTGCCCCGAGCATGCGATACCTTGGCACTCAGCATCAGAAAAGGCTCAACTTGGAGTCCTCCAAGAGCACAGCCTCTTCCACGAACGGTCTGAGTTGCGAGTGCTGGAGAGGGGGAAGTGTTTCTGCGTTGATCATAATCTCTCACTCTTTCTCTCTTTCTCTACTTATTTCTATAAATATGTGTACATAAATAGCTTGTTTCTCGCCTTGAATCTAGATATGAACTGTTCAAATTAGGTGGGCATAACATGCTGTTTTGATACATGAAAGTCTTTGCGACTCGACTCTTGGTTGGTTGTTTCTTGTCACCACTATTTAAAATATAGTTAATACATAAACCCCTACTTTGAGTTCTCCTTGGACAAAAATTAAAGGCAGACTGGTTGAATACTAAGAGTCCCTGGTGCAGAAATGCCATCCAGTTGAGCAGCTAAATGTTAAAAACGATACCAAAAGGGATGTGGTGTCTCTCCTAGCCCGCCTTGAGCAGTGTGGTCCTCCATTCCATGTCGCTGGCATTACCCAAGACTGAAGCTGCGGAGGTCTTTCTGGTTGTGCTCTTGGGCGTTGGGGTCCCGGCAAGCACACTCTCCTTGTAGGTCACAGGACATAGGGAAGGGAGTAACCTGGGAAAGAAAACCAAGGACACAAAGACATGAAGGAGGGTACACACCTACACAAACGAGACCTGATAACTTCAGAGATCAGCTGCAGTCTTCAGCTGTGTTATTTTTTTTTACAGTCTTCTATTTTAGTGCTGAGCTGGTGGTGCACTGAGGTCTCAGGTGAGCTACTGTCTGTAAGACTGCCTGTGAAAAGTGCAAAGAAGAACCTGTTCAACTCATGCAGTTACTAGTCAGCAGATAGTCCCTTAACAGTTCATGTCAGGCTCATGAACGTGGCTGGCTGGGGAGACACGTACTTCTCAGACAACTCTGGGGCTTTTTGGGGTACTTACTACGATGCTTGGATGACACTACATTGCCAACCACTGCTGAAAAATTATCCTCACCCCGAAAAAACACTAAATGAATGCAAGGTTGCAAATGTCTCCTCTCATATGACCAGCTCAAATGATCACTAAACACAACTGGGTCCAGCGGGTCCCAACTGCAGTCTTCCCATAGCACTCCTATCCACCTCTAGCTTGGGGGTGCGGGGGTTGGTGAATCCTACTGCTGGGTCATAATCTCCCCTCGTTAGGGTACCACTTTGCAGTAGGTCCTGTGGCTTGGGTGCTGCTGCCATGCCTGAGTCCATCTGTGCATCTGATTATGAATGTTCTTGGTTTCAGTTCCTCAGGGCAGGAACTGGACCAAACACTACCTAGCAGATCTGGGAAGCTGTAATCCAGCAGAGAAACTTCTCTAAATGCTTGTTGTGTGCAGGGTCAAGAGATGCAACCAACGGGCACTGAGGAACAACAAAGGAATGCAAGTAAGAGACTGCTACGTGCATCATCTGTGATGTGTCCATGATCTCTCTGGAGAAGCATGGGATGGAGTTGAAACAGTAGCCTGCAGTGCCTGGCTAGCGGAAGTTGTTTTTGGCCTATTGCATCACAGTATTTACATAAAGAAAAGAGGGTGGCGGTGGAACAGTGTCTTGCTTGCCCTGAAGTGAATTCCCAAGAATTCCTCCCATCTGCACAGACTGTACAAATGACCTCATATCCTGACTTTACACTCCTTCCAAGACAGTGCCACAACCTGTTCAAACGTTCCCGGCGAGGGCTGCGTGCACGCGTTCCGTCTGCTTCCCTTGGCTTTGCTGCCACATGTTTGCTCTCTTTCATAAACACTTTTCCTCAGGCGATGAAGCCTGGGTCTGCCTGTTCCCTGTGTATCACCAACAGCACATCTAGGAATGTGGACCAAGCACTGTGCGTGAACACAGAACTGTCATTTCCACCCGGACCTTGCATACATGTCCCTGCATGTCCATCTCTGGCATGCCTTTCTCCTGACGCAGACAAGAACGGGATGAAGAGGTGTGGATCTTCATTTCACAACTGGGGAGCCTAAGGCAGGGACATGCTGACAGAGACATTAAATAACCAACGCTCATCACCACATTAGGGTTTAGAGAGCCTCCTCCCCCTGCTTTTGATTTAATTCCCAAAAGACCTGACCCTCCAGGTAGAATAGGGTGATGACTCTTTGTCAAGCCATGCCCTTGGTGAGTTACGAGCTAAATAACCAACCAGTGAATAATCTGAACCCACACTGTGCAAATGTGGAGGTTGCAAAGAGACAGGATAGTCCAAAAAGTCAAAAGCAGATGAATTAAAATAATTGGAAACTAAAGAAGTTTATAAACTGCAGAAAACAATAGGAGCTTAAGGGTCATTTGATCCAACAGAAGCCAGTCAGAGCAGGACTGTCTTGTATCACAGCGTTATGAATATTCTTAGATAGGAAAACAGAGAGGTCTGCAAACAATAGGGTTTGGGGAGGAGGCTGAGGAGGGATTGTTTAATGACTGAATTAAAATACTGAATTGGAGAAAATAAAAGATACATGAAAAAAATTGCCTTTTTCTTCTTCAGTATAGAAGAAAACATTTTGGTTTAGATTATCCGTTACAGTTCAGGTTTGACCTTTCCCTCCAAGATACACAAATAAAGAAGACTATTTCAGAGCAAAAGTTATGCCTTGAAATAAAAAATTATTTCTCTTAGAAAACGCTCAAACAAAACATCTAAATATGTCTGGAGTTTTCTCCTATTTTTTTTTTTTATCCTGAATCATTCCATTCAAGCTGGATTTGGCAATGATTTTGACTTAAAAAATCCTCCCTCTTGTACAACAAAGCTACTGGTTGGAGATGAGACTTGGGAACCTGATTCTTTCATTTGTCTACATCAAGCTTTTTCCTCTCCCTGGCCTGGATTCACTGCATTTGTCTGTAACAGTCTAGCAACGGCAATTAAGTGGCCCCTGTATTCAAAGGAGAGTGAGTGGCTCACACAGAGGGTGGACACACGTTTTGCACTGAACAGAGGACAACCACACACCCAACTCGGGCATTTCAGTGAAGTGGCTGAAATCAGCCATGACATCGTACTGCACTTTGTCTCTGCTGTCGTCCACGCATAAGTGAGACAGTGAAATGTGTTGCAGGCACAGAGATTCCATAAATCCTACCATTTCACTAATGGGAACATCAGAGCCGAGAGCGACAGCCCCGTATGACTATGTCTCCCAACTGCCAGATCATGTTCCCTCAACCTACTCTGTGGGCTGTGATGAAATAGTGGCCTTAGAAACCCAAATTGACATGAGTTGGATGTTGCCTTGAAGTGATCTACCTCCTCATTCCCCCTCCTTCTCCTTGTGAGTCCCTCCGTTTCCCTTTGTGTCCTTACAGGTGACGGTGCGCTAAGCGCTGGCACAACCTGAAAAAAAGGTGCACATAAGAGACTAGATCACTACTACATTGCAGCACATTTCTGGGGAGCGGGAGCCACTAGAGAAGAAATTTTTTGCTGCGTGTTTCCTCTAGAAACTCTCCAGTCCTCTAATAGCTGTCATGGACAGAAGAACAGAAGCTTCCTCTCTGGGGCAGAGCCATGGCCTCAAGAGCAGTTCCATGGCTCAGCAACAGTCACAGCAGTGGGTAGCCTGAGTGTAAGAGGGCTTCTTCCTGATCAGATTAGCTTTATTCACTTTATGTCCCTTACAGAGGTTTTTGGGGTTTTTTCTATGCAATTTGATTTTTACAGTTCTATTGTCCAGATAAATGAATTGTTTTGTCTTATGGCAGTGAGCTCCAGAAATCAGTTTTCTATTATGTGAAAAGGCAGAAATTTCTACTGGTAATGAGCACATCCACAGTCTTATTAGACAAGTCAAAATTCTCCAAACACTTGCAGGAATACAGGGTTTCTACTTTAAACAATATCTACAACAAATACACATTTGAGTTCCCCAAGGACCTGATTTCCACAGGTGTAGAAGGAATCTAACTGACACACAGTATCCACGAGGATTTTCGCAAGTACCCAACACAGAGAAACCATAAAACCCCTTCGAAGAACTGTCTTTTCCCTGGGCTCAAACCCTCTGGAGTACAGAGCTATGAATAAAGCTGCTGGATGAGCTAGAAATAATAAATACTGAACCCTTTTCTGAATGATAGCCCATTTAGGTGTGAAGCCCAGATATAACTACTTCAAGATTAACTGCTTCTTTTCTTTTTAAATAGGTCTGTGAAAGCCCAATTCATTAGCAGAATATATGGCCTGCACTGAAATTTCCAAATATACCCATTGTAGAACGACTATTAAAGAAACATCTTCTTTCTTCCACCCACCAAGTCCTGCATTCACCCTTCATCTATCTCCCCTTGTAGAAAACCTGGCTAATATCTAGGAGGGCAAGGAGAAAAAGCTAGAAATTAAGCTTAGGGCTTGGCTCACTCATTTGATGAAGTAGTCCAGGATATTGTCTCCTCAAACTAACTAAAATAGATTGAAAAAGGCACAACTGAAGAACACAGCTCCACACGCCTACACATCTCCTGGAGATGATCCAGAACAGGCCCACGGAGTAGATCAACAGCACTCAGGGGAATGTGGGTCACACCCAAACCACATTGGACCACAGAACATCCATCTTCAAGAGAAAAGGGGTACAACCTAAATCATCTCGTCACCCCAGGGGTGCGCACTGCATGACACTCCCTGCTCTGAACCTAAGGGAGGTGTAGGTGTATGGGCTAAGCAGGAGGCTAGCATAGACTTTGGGGGTGTAATGCACTGGAGATCTGAGGCCCCCCCACCTTGACCATCTCACCACCCACGCTGCATGGTGTATAAACCCATACTTCCCTTCTCCACAGAGGTTTGGGAGCCCTAAGCATCCTCTCCACTCCAGGTGATGAGACCTTGGATGAAACCTAAGCTCCCCTTGGAAACAGGGCAGCATTTGCCCTTGATGCCATGCTCCTGACTATTGGAACAGAGTCAAGGATACAACAGGCCAGGGCAGAACTGAGATCCGGTTCATGAAATGAGTCAGAGGCCACAAATCCTTACTACACAGCACCCATCTAAAGAGGCTGGTGACATCCCCCGACAGATCCCTCCTGAGAAGGGCCAGTCTATAGGGAACTGGTGGGAATGTTGACAGGAGAAATCCTAGACAGGTACAGGGAGGGATGAGAAAGGGTTCTGCAAAGGGTCAGAGCTCATCCCTCACACAGGCTCATATCAGGTTGGCCTGGCTGTACCTCCCATCCAGCGCACTTGGGGCTGGTTCACTGGGGCCGGCAGAATCAGGCCCGGGGAAGGGCTGGGGTTGGAGGTGGGAGGGAAGCAGGGAAGGAGGGCTGCAAAGTGTTGGGAAACAGCCTGTTGTTAGACTTCAGCCCTGAAGTGTTTGCGAAATCTCCCAGACAAGGCCTAACTGGAAATACGAAGGCCTGGCCGCAGACAGGGCCTCTGCGGGCGAAGGCGGCATGTCGAGATAAGCGTGGCAGGCCGTTGCTGAGTGTCACAGCCCCCTGCCTCCTGGGACCCTCACAGCTCAAATGCCGAGGAGTATTTTGTTCCCTGACAAGGCCCTCGTGGGACAAAAATGCATCTTGCAAGGGTCTTCTCAGTTGTTTCTGGCACTGAGGTCAC